TTTATTTCTTTTTTAACAGGTGAATAACTTTCATCATCTGGAATATTCAGAAATATGTATATAGAAATTAATAAGCGTGATATAATAAGCATTAAGTGCTCCTAAAAATGCAGTCACATATGCTAAAAGTCTCTTTAGTATCTTCACTGTATTGAATATCTCATATTCCTTAAAATTAGCAATAAACAAACACAACATTTCGAAATATAAGTAGAACTACTTACAAGTATTATAATATAATCAACCTAAATTTTGGACATGATATGATTCAGTCTCAACTTTGACCATAGATTGATATCACTTAGGATTTACTAGACAGCTGTTTCGTACTAACTAACTAGTCTTCAGACTCTTTGTCAGTACTCACCCATCGTAGTTGGAGCGGAGGACCTTCCAAGTAATGATTTTAGCCCAACCAGTGGATGAGTACTACGGATGACTTGCAAATTAGGATGAAACAACTGTCCTGTACTCTCTGGTGTGTTTTCAGTGCTTCTATAACTCATATCTATCCGTAACCAAACTTGAAATAAATGAAATCCCTAGAAACTAACTCTTGATGATTAAGTTTCATCTATCTACATTCACTCTCCTGTAATGACGTAATTTCTGTAAACCTTTTCATTCATTCGTTATTGTTTCTTTGCTCACCACTACTTCCTTATTGTCTTCTGTCTGTGACCAAAAGAAAGCATCATAATCCATGTAGCAAAGTATTTTATACATTTTATGAAGTTATATTAATGCAACATGATTGGTGGCATATAAAAAGTTTGGGCTAGAATACTAAACGCCTTGTTTTTGGGGTTAGCTGATTACATCATCTTTTTTAAGCTTTATTTAGATATCTACATGAATCACTAAGAGGAGCTGACTGCAAAAGCTCGAAGTCTTTTTTCATTATTTACCTCAGAATTACAAGTCATCTATGGGAATGTGAGAAGCTTGTTGAGATGAATTGTGTGTCTGTGAAAGACTATTTACTTACTTCAGGAGTAGAGTTATTACGTGACAAGTGGTCAACAGTTGGCAATTTTCATTACAAAAGGGTTAATCATCGCCTGGGTCCATAAGTAACTGGGTATTATTATTATTATTATTCCATACATTTATTCCCCTTATTAAATTTGAATAAAGCAAGAACAACAGTTTTTGCAGAATAATGTGGTACCATCATTTATTTCTTTGCCTTCTCTTCAGCTGCTTACAGGCAAAAGTCATTATTAAATATATCTACAGAAAAAGTTTAACATACTTGCACAAAGTTCATTTTAAACAAAAATCAGTCAATATATGCATACAGTAGTTATATATATTCCGAACAATAATAATCATACACAATGGAAACTTTAAGCATTACGTAATCAGATGAAAGAGAGACGAAAATATCCAGTTACCAGGACAAACAAGGAGTGACAACACTTTCTTTCTGGACGCATAAATCAGGTTTCAGGCGTTTCATAAAGATCACCTCAGCAATCTTGAGGAGAATTAAGCTCTTTTGCCTATTAATAATTTTGAACGACTTTTCGACGTCCACCTCATGACCCGTGTCGAGGAGATGTCTGGCGATGGCACTGTTTAAAGCATTTGTTCCCTCTAGACATAGGCTTTTTGGTACATGTACAGAAAATCGCAGATATGCCTTTCTTTCTGTTCTTCCAATGTAACTGCTGTCGCAGATACACTTAAATTTGTATTTACAGTTGGAGTCAACATAAGAAGAATATCTATCGATTTTCGATTGCACCGAATAGCAAGATGTTCGATAGACGGGAACCAGCTTAGCTACAAGATAGGCTCTGGCCAGCGACGTACTCAGTCTTCTGTTGACAATTGCTGCGATATTTTCACCTTGATAATCAAGTTGAATCTAGACTGGCTTTTTTCCACTGTGATTTGTTTGACATTCGAGACTTTATGTCTTCTGTACTTGTCAGTGAATCTTTGAGGGTAGCCATTGCTCCTCAACATCTTTTCAATCCAGTCCATCACAATTAGGAATATCATTGGTGATAATAAGCAAGCACCGCTGTCTGACTCCTGTGGTTACTCCAAACGCCTCGCTGAGTTTTCCGTTGTGGATCACTTGACGACGTGTGGCGTTGTCGTACAGCTGTTGAATAAGGTTGATGACTATTTCGGGTACGCCGTAGTACTCGAGTAGTTTCCAAATTACTTCACGGTCAACGCTGTCGAAGGCTTTCTCAAAGTCTATAAAGTTGAGGTAGAGGTTTGATTGCCATTCCATTCTTTGTTCAATGATGATGATGCGTAGAGTTGCATTTTGGTCAGTGCATGATTTCCCTTTCCTGAATCCAGCTTGTTCTGGTCGGAGTTCTATATCCAGCGCGTCCTTTATTCTCTCCAGGATGATACGACTCAGAATTTTCCATGGCGTCGACAGGAGCATGATTCCTCACCAGTTCTTGCAGAGAGAGTGTCCTAATTCGCCCTTCTTTAGTAGTTTTTACTGTATAGCTGACTGAAACTTCCTCGAGGAAAACACATTAACAAACACTCTAAAGACAGCAAAGAGATGATTATTCATTGCTAGAATCGGTGGTTTTATTCAACAATGGTAACATCAAAGACTCAAAATTACCTCAACAATGACGTTAAGCAGAGCTAGTTTAACAGTCCAGTCTAAGTACAAAACGACTCCTTAGAATCAAGTACAATATTCCGAAAAAGATAGTTAGTATCAAAAACTCTGTCTACAAGTATCACACACACACACCAACACCTCCTACAGACAGACAGTCTAAGGTCAGAACAACCTTGATTCCGTCACACAAAGTCATATCATGAACCACTACATTAACACTGTATACCCAACTACAAAGGAGAGCATTAATAATAATAATAATAACAGCCTTATTCCAAACAGTATTTGTGGTACAGGTATGGAATTTTCAGCGTGCATTACAATATATTGCATCTAATCACCTCATAAATTATAAGATTCTGAAAATAAAAAATAAAACAAAACCGCCAAAAAATAAAAGATAAATAAAAAAATAAAAACAACAGCGTAGCATTTACATTTTAAACAATGCACCACAGGATATGAAATATAAAGTTGATGTGTGATAGAAGATGAGAACAACAGTGTAATAGTAACGAGGAAAGGAAAACCAAAACTAATGGGACTATTTGTTAGAGTGCCGCAGTAAGTTGATCGTATCATACCTAACGGATTTCTCATCACATAACAGCTGTGACAGATATGGTATTGTGGAGTTCTTGTATTTGCTAGTCCCAGCATATAGCCTCCTATAGCTGCTTCTAGTTCTACCAGATGAAATGCAAGGGGAGAGCTGCGTATAGAGAGGATGTTCGGGGTCTGACAATATTGTATTCGCTAGTTTCTTACATGACATTATATGTCTATCCACAATAGTGTTAACCAGTTGGTTTAACGATATCCCACTTGCCCTACTAACGGCTTTTAGTGCCCTTCTCAGTAAAGCAAAGTCCAGGAAAGATTAATGAGGAGCAGTAAAGGAGGGGACGGGTAGAATACAAGAATTGATAAACTGAGAAAGCAAAGACTGCTTTATGCCAGACTGCCTAAACTTCTTAATGTAGAACGTTAAGCGAAACATCTTTCTAGTAACTAGCAAGATGTGGGAGGACCAGGAAAGATCGGTGGAAATACTCAGCCCTAGGTAGTTGACATTAGATGTATTTTCAACCTCTATGCCGTCAATGATAGTGAGGCCATGTGAGCTACCTAGTTGTTGTAGGTCACGCTTTCGTCTGAAAGTGAAATTGACTACCTGACATTTTGACGGATTTAGCTTAAGACTGTTTGAAGAGAACCACTGACTAATTTCCGACAGAAAGTTATTTAATTCGGAACAATCTGACTGAGAGTTGACAGGCATAGAAACAGAGAGGTCATCAGCATACTTAACAAAAGTGGCTACACATCAGAATGAGGCAAGTCATGTAAGAAAAACGAAAACAGAAAGGGAGAAAGAACAGCACCTTGAGGGACACAAGCTAAAGTAAGTGACGTAGTGGAGGACTTTCCATTGTAGATGGTGTACTGCTTTCTATCAGAAAAATAGGAATGCAAGCACTTATTTGTCCACCTCTCAGCCTGTGTTGCAGCAAGCTTACTTAGCAATTAAAGATTTACCAGTAACCACAGTGACAAATAATAAGGATCAAATCAACCCCTTGGACTTGCAAATATCAGGACAGTGATACATAATCTAAGAGAAAAATGGATAGTAATCACAAAGTTAGATGAAACGTTCAAATGTGATCAGATCTTTCAGAAAGGATTTTCCAAACAATTGTTCCGCTACAATGGTTCCTCCATTAATCAACATGAGAATAACGTAAATTTAACTCCATATCACTTGTCTTTTAAACCTTAGTATATTGATAAGTCCAAGAACACATACTACTGAGGTTTTGTGTTTTTTTGGCACTCATCAGCAATGTTCATCTGAAACCCTTACAAAATTCATATATTCACATATTGTAACGACAGAAGACCCAGGGGCCAGGCAACAGATCATTTATTGAGAGAATCAGGAGATATTTATAGATTTTTATGTACATACATTATTGCCAGTGGAGAAACAAAGTCTCCTGATTGGCTGTTATCTTGCTTATGGTTATGCTGTACTGCTTGTGACTGTTTCTTAGATGGTTAAGCCATATATATATATATATATATATATATATCTGTGAATCATACTTGCACACGTGTTAAGTCCACTGTAGTTGGTTGGTGAGTGTTCTCCAAGGTTAGTCTTTGTTCTTGTTTTTTTTCCCATGGACCCGATTCGGGACGTAAACACTGACACTTTAATTGCTGTCTACAATTTTTTTTGGCTTGCAGCTGGCTCTCATCACAATATTTCGAATTCCACACACCGTGAACTGTTAAAAATCAGCGGTCTCCTACTGCATGTGACTCATGTTAACATGAAAAACAAAACAGCTTATCAAATCTCCTTTTTATTGTTACCTTGATACAGGTTGAAGGACAACCAATGGCTTATGCAGAAGCACTGGATTATTTGAATATTGTATTCACCGGTGTATTTACAGTGGAATTTGTTCTGAAGTTAACTGCTTTTGGATTCAAGGTGAGCAGTATTCAGCTGTCTGTTTATTCACTGTCTTTCTTTTTGGTATACATACCACAATGAAGTATGATTAAGGTTGAACGTCTTAGACAGAGAAAATGATGACGTGATGAATTAAAATTGAGTGGCAGTCATTTACAAATCGGAATTCACATAAGCTAACAGAAGTATTTTTATCCATGGAATTTGTTCTTCCGTCAAAATTAAAGTCCCTAAGTAGTAGTGTCTGATATGCGTAACTCAGATTACAGATGCCTTCAGGATGTCATTGAAATACTTTAAGATATAATAGTAATAATAGCTTTTTTCCAGACAGCGTTTACAAAGTGTATAGAATTCTCAGAAGAATTTATTGCATAATGTATATTCTCTTCATCCAGCATCTTAACGTAAACCGACTGACTGACTGACTGACTGAGTTTGTAGTCACCACACTCCATGTAGCACAAAAACCAAGAGAAGAAAGTAAAAAGAAATGCAAAATAGAGACAGTAAACAGAGATATAAGGCAAAAAGAATAATAGTATCGAAGATCAATATAGTTTTATTGGATATCATAAATCACACGGAGTGGATGCATCTGCGCCAGCCATTAAGAACGAGGATTTTGAGCCATATTACCAATTGTCTGCAGTAGCCATTGGTCTTTACTATCTCTAGGACCCCAACCAGACAACAGTCTACATCTTGTTTTGGATTTCATTCACCGATAAGGCCATATTTTGGTTTGATCACCACTAGCTCTTTTAAAGCTTGATACTATATCAGCTAACAGTACCCGTAGAGGAAGGCGATCGATGGTTTGGCGTGCGTAGCAAATTTCGTCACCATCTCAATCGATTTAACTTCCCAACCTCATCATCTGATTTCCTCTCTTTGTCTGTCACTCGATCAAAGCCTAACCTTAATATTGCTCACCCTATTATACCACTTCACATAGGAGATAGAATGTAGGCCCCTATGATCAAAGACATCTAGTCGACCTTTTCATGTCTTTCAGTTTCAGTAGCAATGTCTCGTTCACAGCCATAAAGGAAGACGGAGCGGACTGCTGAGCGGTACACACGCCCTTTGGTCGTCAGTAGCCGGATATCACTATTAAGCCAGAGGCGGCGTAAACTGGCATATGCGAAACGAGCCTTCTGTATCAGTGCCCAGATTTCGTCAGCGATCAATCCGTTGGGGCCGATGCAACTTCTCAAATAAGTGAAGTGGTCAACATACTCTATCACTTCACTCCCTATTTCTAATCTAGGAGTCAGTGTAGTCAAGTCCTGTAGTACCGTCTTAAATTTGGCGGGAGCGAATCGCATGACAAACATTCGCAGATTGCAACTCAAGGTATCTAGAAGACTCTGCTGTATTTTGCCAGCATCTTCACCTAGGAGGAAGGACTATATCATCTGCATATTCTTAGTCAACAAGATTATTCCCTCGTAACAAGTAACAAGTAAAATGGTGACTGATAGTAAGTCGTATGACGCAACATCATCTGATCTGAATTGCCAACCAATCCGTCATGATACTTCTTCTTTGTTAAATTCGATAAAAAGACGGAACTCTGTTAAAAGCCAGTCAAAAAGGTGCTCAAGTAGATTTTTCGATCCAAATACATCACTGAATGACTAAATACCTCAGGCAGTTAGTATTATTCCCCAGGGAGTGGGATTGTTTATACTAAAAATGTCAGGAAAAGCCATATCTCATATATTGGGATACGTCGCAATCCACAATTATACTTTTTTCTCAAGTTTAATAAAAACCTGAGAATCAGCAGGCAGTAAACATTTTGAGCACTCGCGAGAGTAAAAAACACAATGTGAACACGAGAAATACCATGCAATAGACTGTTGGGTATCTTCAGTGGTCCAAATTTTAAACAGGCCGCTGATATGGACGGATTTTAAGCGTTACCACACTTAAAAAGGGCATACATAAAGGTGTAGAGAACAAGAGGAGGAACTCACAGGAACTTTGACAACCAGAAACAAAGAGGAAGCTGAATAACTTTATGGAAAATAATTAGAATCTAGTGTATCTGAGAGATTATGGCGAATAAATGCCATCTATACTATTTAGAACAATTTTCAATCATGTCACCACCTGTCACTTGATTTCTAGTGCCTCCAGTTCCCTTGCCAAGTAGTTCATACCTCTCTATGTTGTGTTACAAACCATTAGTGAAAGATTTCATAGATTGTTGTCATTGTTTTCGTTTGACTAATCTTCACTGAAAGTGCGTCGGTGGTATAGCGGTTAGGACGCTCGCCGACCATGCATATGGTCCGGGGTTCAATCCCCGGCCGGCGCACCACTTTACCTCACTGAGCCAGAAATAATGCTGGTAAAGAGGAAAGGTTGGGCATGAGGCTAGCAACCCCATCCTGTAAAAATTAAACACTGCTACAGAAACTTCAAGCCACTAGCTTGGAGCCCTATGTTCCACTGGGAACGTATAGAAAAAAAAATCTTCACTGAAAGCCTATGTTTGGTGTACCGAAGTTGAATTTTACTCATCCTGTTTCAACAATTTAGCTAAAGAAAGCTCCAGGGTATTTTGATTTGACACTAGTAACTAGTGTGATGCGTCTAGTCCTCCTTTCTTTGGTGTAGACTGAATTCTATCAGTCAGGTTTGCAATGTGGCCACCAATCCAGATAGCTCGCCATCACGGTGCACATTGATTTGATGGTATTAGGTGGTTGGAGGCAATCGGCCACAGGAAGCCTTGAACGAGTGCCAACTACCACGAAATCCAGGTCAAGCAAGGCTTCCTGTGGCCGATTGCCTTCAACCAGGGTTTCAAGCAAAAGGGTCTGATGTAAATGGGTAGTTTATCACAACAAACTCAAAGTTGACTGTAGTTCACCGGTTACTATGGTTCAACCAATGATACGTGTCTAGTCTTTAGTCTTGATGCTGACTGGATTTCATCAATACAGGAACAAACAGTGTTCAGCGAAGAATGCCTTTTTGGCCAATTCGTTTGGATGAGTATTTTTCATGAATTTCATCGGTGAACATTTTCCGATTTTTGTTACGAAGCTAGTTGAATTATCATCGCAGCGCACTACGAATTGATGGTAAATCGTGGATGCAACCTGCAAGAAGCCTTTGAACTAGGTTTTGTGCGTATATGCAGACGTGAACCAACTGATATCCCTTGTGAGATTTAAGGACGCGTCACCCAGTGCTACAGCCAGAGATGTTACCGCTGAGCTATTTGAGCTGACCTCCATTGGTAATATTGTCGTCCGGGGTTTACTATTGGCTAGTAAACTGGGAGAGGTCTAGGAGTGTGTGTCAGTCAGGAATCGAAACCAGACCTACAGTTAGTCTAATGAGCATTCTACCACTGGACTACCAGTTCACTTTGATATCTAGTCACTCTTTTTTTACATTTACTTATTCTACCTGACTGACTTGTGTATTATTCAGTCAAATTATTGACAGCACTGAAAATTTCAAGTGTTGGCTTCCAGGAGTTTGGCTGATTTCTAGATTGATCAGGAACTGACTTCAATTTCTTAAAACCTTTAGGAGACTCGAAGGCCCTGTCACGATCCTAGGTGGGGTGGAGGAGTGTCAAGCAAGAAAGAAACAGCTGTCCAGTACTCTCTGGTTTTCAATGGTTATCTAAATGAAGTCAGTTCCTAATCGAACTCGACAGACTTTTATGGGTTTTTATTATTGGTACATTATATGATGTAAATATATACCCGAAGGCCGTCGGTTACAGGTGCACCGTGATCTAGACTTTCAGATTTATCTACACTCATCACCCATTACATTTATCATTACATATTTATTTTACTATTTATTTGTTTATTTATTTTTCTATTAATTTTAGAATTACTTCAGTGATCCGTGGAATGTATTCGACTTTATTATTGTCGTTGGAAGTTTCGTGGATATTAATATGTCACATTTAGCTGTAAGTTTTGTAAAACAAAGAAGATATCGATAAGCTAAGTACAAAAACAACGAATCACTACTTATATAGTATTCAGTATTATTATTATTAACAGACAAACGAGGGTACTATTACTCTTTTCAGCTCCGGATAGAACATAAGCTTCAACAGCACTTCTAAACTTTTTCCTATTCTCTATGATCCTATTCATCTGGCCTCACGTCTGTCGATTATCAGTCATCTCCCGCTCACAACACCTTGCCCATGTCACCCTCAGACATATACCCAACTTTATTATTATTTCCTTTAATTCCTAGAGGAACATCGGGCTTCAGCTCCAACGTCTCCATTGCGTTTGATTCTCAGTTAACGTTTTCACCTGGCTTCAAGTCTGCCCATATGCTTTCATCTCCTCTTCACGTGACCCCCTCTAAGTCACCCTTGCATTGACGACCAACTCACCGCTTCCCTTTCGGGTTCCACTAGAGCGATAGCTTGTCTAGTGATGTCACTTGATGGTTTCCTCAGAGTATTGCTAATCCAATCCATCTCCATTTCTTCCTGCCTATTTGTTTCACAATAGGTTCCTGTTTGGTCCCCTCCCAGAGATCCCTGTTTCCGATCTTTTCTGGCTGACCATCTGATCTTGACTAGTATTGAGCTAAGACGGCTGTTGGTGAAAGTCTGTAGTTTGTTTGAGGTGCTCTGTATGACACGCCAAGTCTCTGATCTGTATAGTAAGTGGCAGTGACTTCACATTGGAGTTGAATATCCGGATGTTACTCTTTATGCTGAGTGCTGTTGACCTCCACACAAACTTGAGAGTAATGAAAGTTTGTCTTGCTTTTCCGATTCTTGCCTTGATATCCTCGTCAGTTCCACCTGTAGTTGAAACAATGCTTCCCAGGTGGGTAGCATTGTTTGTTTCTTTCACGTTCCTCCCATTTATGCTAACTGATTGTTGTCTGTTGTTGTTGCTGTTTCCGTTGGCCAGGAATCTTCGTCACCTCTGTTTTCTCTATGTTCACCTGAAAACCTATCTTTGATGCTTCTTCTACACCCAACTTATTATTTCCTATTGATATTCTACTCGAGTGATGACCTGGTGCGCAATGTCAGCTGGCGGTCTCCTCAGCGGGTATCTCATCTATCTCCATCTTCTTAGGCATCCTTCTTGAGTAAGAGGTTCTTGGCTGGTTCATTTCCTGAGTTTCTTATTACTAATTGTTTCTCGCCATATGATCTACAAAATGGAGCCAACGATGGTAAGTGCTGATAATGAAAGTCTGGATATGCCGATTACCAGACCGATATACAAAAATTGACTGATTTAACATTGCTGTAAGGAATCCGGATTTCATTCTTTGTGCTGATTGCAGCAAATTTCCAAATTGATTCCACAGTGCATCGCCTTTCCGATTCTGACCAAATTCGGCATCTTCATGCGTGCCGACTGCCTGTAGTTGAAACAATTCTGCCTGGTCGGATAAGTGAAGGAATTGATCTCTTTTTGAAATCACTCCCGGTTGATAATGATAATGGTCTTATATACTTTCTAGTCACATTAAGAAATGGCTCCTAGTGTAGAAGTTAAAATGAGAAGCTATAGGTGTAAAATCCGGTCTTGTCTGACAATGAACATGTCGTAAATCAGAGTAAACTCAACAACAACAAAAAAAACAACAATCCCGCCATTGATTGTCTTTTCGAATGTCTTCCGGACATCATCAGGCGCCAGGATACGTGTAGGCTGAATATATATATATATATATGTTCAATACAACATTCAGTCTGCTCAACAGGTGACTACCAATGTATAGCTATTAATATACGTTTGACAGTTTGCTTCCTTCAAACACTCACTCACACACACACTACATGCTAATACAGCTATACAGTCGTGACAAGCATACCTAGTCCTTCACTTGTAACTATCATCGCAGACTTTATAATTAAATCAATCTGCCTGCGAAAAGATGTTCAATAATAACACTTGAGAAAAGTAAATTACAAAACCTGACTTTATTCGTCACACGTGATGTCGCTTTAATCACTATCTGACCACTGCTTTGTATTTCCTTCATACCTTAATTTAAGACTCTGAATATTAATATAAAATTAAGAACTTTGGCACTGTGTTAGAGTATAATTACGTCATGGAATAAATTTCTTTTATACACTGGTACAGTATAATTATCTACTGATGACGTTTAGAGCACAATTTATTCCTCAAAATCACATTTGAAGCCCTCACATATCTTTCTAACTTCGTTTTGTATAATTCTATCACTTCCTCTCCTTTGATTATGCACCGGTAGTACAATTCTCCATATCTCTGGTATTGCCATTGTGTCATTCCTGTCACACATGTTGAAAGTAGATTCTGTTGCAATTAATAGTGTTCTCTGAGCTGGTTGATTTAGTTGCGGAGCTTTCATCGTCCCCCTTCTGGACGACATCTTAAGCGCAGTATTTAGGATAAAGTGAAATGATTTAAATTTCTTCATGAGTGGTGATATAATTGCGTCTCCCGGTAATCATCTTTACATATGTATTGACCGTTTTCTATTGATTGGGATTTTAAACTTTCTGATCACCTGATTTACTTTGTATTATTATTGCTCCCTTGGGTTCCTAGTGGAACATAGGGCTTCAACTGCACGTCTCCATTTGCCTCTGTCTTCTGCTGTACTTTTCGCCTGCATCCATGTTAATCCATATTCTTTCAACTCCTCTTCACACGATCTCCTCCATGTCACCCGTGGACGTCCCACACGCCTCTTCCCTTTCGGGTTCCACTCGAGGGCTTGGCGCGCGATGTCACCCAGCGGTCTCCTCAGCGAGTGTCCGATCCATCTCCACTTTCTCCTGCATATTTGTTGGGCGATTGGTTCTTGCTTTGTTTGTTCCCATAATTCCTTGTTGGTGATTCTTTCCGGCCCGGCCATCTGATCTTTAGTATTGAGCGAAGACAGTTGTTAATAAAGGTCTGCAGCCTTTTGGAAATATTCTTTGTGACCCGCTCACCAAGTTTCTGATCCGTATAGAAGAACTGACTTTACGTTTGTATTGAAAATCCGAATTTTGTTGGTGATGCTGAGTGACGAAGATTTCCAGATTGATTTCAGGCTGATGAATGTGTTTCTCGCCTTCCCGATTCTCGATTTGACATCCTCGTCCGTTCCGACTTCCTGTAGTTGAGAGGCTTGCCTTTTCCGGGTTTACTGCCCTCTAGGTGAGGTTTTGAAGTGAGTTAACCGGGAATCGAAGCCGCACCACCTCAGTGTTTGACAAACATTTTGCCTCTGAACCACCAACTCACATTACTACCCCTCTAACTTGTCATTTACACATCTAATAATGTTTCATCCTGAATTGATAGGGAAGATTTATAGCCTAGTTGGGTGTGCTTGGGAATGTTGTGTTCTTTACGATTAGTAGTGTAATTGCAAAGCTTTCATTTTTCTTCCAAGACAACATCGCTTCAGTGTTAAACACAGTCCGAAGTGAGCTTTTAAAATCTTGCCTAAGTGCCACATCTGTTTTTTCTGGAGACCTTGACTGTGAATAGGTCTTCGTAGATATTTTAGTATTTCATCGATTCGATATTCATATTGATCATTTCGGTAACCTGAAATGTGACCACTGGACTATGTGACCTACCTTCTTATTGATCGAATACTTTCGATCAATATTCACAAGTGCGTTATTTCCAAACGGATATAAGTACCAAGCTCCTAGGCGTTCTTTGCCATTTTTGCTGTTCACTCTATCTAACATTTTCACATTTCCCATTAGTTCAACTAATGAAGACAGTTATCTATCTGAAATGTATAAGGACTGCTGGTATCCCCTTCATCATCTTATTCATGTAAATGAAACATGTCAGTCAAAAGACACGAAATACATGCGTTTATAACAATTCTCTTGGACTATTATTATGGTTACACATTTCATGTCAATCAAGTAATTGTGTTATACTTCAGTCCGCTGTATGATTACCTACCAGTGAAGTCGAGGATGCACATTTTGTCCTATCTAGAACTCGCCATCTGCATGTTCCCCAGTAAATAGTGGTTTCCTTATAGAGACTCGAACCCAGTACCTATTGTTTCAAACGCCAAAGAGTTATACCGCTTGAACCATAAGAGCCACCTCTTGTTCAACGAGCATCAGGTTTTATTTGATTTTAATTCAATTTTGACTTTCGCGTTGACTGATAGGACCGAGATTTTCAGCCTCTTTTAACATGTCGGCTCCTAGCACAGATACTTCAACAGAGTCCAATCAATCGACGGGGAAATCAAACAAATATAATAGTACTATTTTCTATAGTTTGGTTTATAAGGGTTAGTTATGTTTTCATGAGTTAATCACGGATTAGTTAGAGAACCATTGAAAACCAGTGAGTACTGGCAGCTGCTGTTTCATCCCAGTTTGGGAATCATCGGCAGTACGCACCCATCACCAAAGCTCGAACTCAGGACCTTTTGGTTACAAGACAAGCTCGTAGACCATTGAGCTACTGGGACCCGATCCAATGGCCACTCACTGAATTCTAACTACTACCAATTCGTGGTTCAGCGCTATCTCCAGCCAGTGTCGTTGGTGGGACATCCATCCTCACACCTGACATCTGGATGGACCTCACTAATGTTTCCTGGAGTTCTAGTGAGAAGTCGTGACCACTGAGGTCCATCCAGTCAAGTGTGAGAATGGATGTCCCACCGACGACATTGGTTAGGGTCACGCTAAATCACGAAGTGGTAGAAGTTAGAAGTATATGAGCTCGCTGGCCTTGTAACCGGAAGTTTCTTAGCTCGAACCGCAGTCAATGCGTACTGCTGATGATTCACCGACTAGGACAGAGCAAACAGCTGTCCAGTACTCCAGTGGTTGCTTTCAATGTTTCTCTGACTGATATCAATCCGTGATCAACTCGTAAAAAGGAAGTATAATTCTTTATTTCAACTTCCTGCTGTTCTTTGTCCAATGTTCTTCTTCTTCTTCTTTTCATCACTTTCTTTCAGGCAAATTCAAAATTTATCAGTATAAATTTTTTTCGTTTATTCCGTGTAATGAGACTTGTGAAATTATTAAATCGTGGTGAAGGTATACGAACACTGTTATGGACATTCGTTAAATCCTTTCAGGTATGCATTTTTATAACTACTGGATTACAACTGTTATCACTTATATAATGATTATTATTATTATTATGAATGTTTTCTATTTTCGACGATAGAATGGATTCCGTGGTAGATTTTGGCATAAATCAAAATTTTTGAGAATTATTTAAAACCGAAGTTTGAAGCATCGACGTGACTTACTTGAACTAGTTAGCTCGCATAATTCCTGTAGCATAGATGGCACGGAAATTGAAACCAAGTCAAGCATTAAATACCTTAGATTAGTTCTTTCCTCAGACCTTTCATGGTCATCACACATCTTATCTATCTCTAAGAAAATGTTTCGTCTTACCTTCTACATTAAAAAGTTAAGATAATCAGGTATCAACCAACCTTTAGTTTTGCGATTTTAAAACTCCTGTATTTTACCTATTGTACTCTATTGCTCTCCATCAATCTTTCCTGGGCTTCTCAAAAAAACAAGCAATAAAGGTTAATAAAGCAGGATTTAATGAATTCATCAAATTTCGGTAGAACTCGTCAGCTGAATACTCTACATACACGAATATATATACTTTTGAAATTACATTGGGAGATATAAGACTGATAAGTTGAATACTCTACATACACGAATATATATACTTTTGAAATTACATAGGGAGATATAAGACTGATAAGTAAACAAACTACATTGAATTAATCATGCAGAGAGACAGGTGCGAATATTTTTCAGGTCATGTTCAAATAGATAAGGGGAGAGAGAGAGTATGAGAGATCAAAATTAAGATAAATTGCATTACGCTTCAATTACATCACTTAGATAAACAATTAGTCATTAGAGAATATAACAAGAATTGCAAACAGGCTAATATCAATAGTAATAGTTTTAATAACAATAATAATAATAGTGTTGAAGTGAGTTAAGATAATCTTACGGATAAAGCATAGATTTAAATGAATCAAGAATAATAATAATAATGGTAGTAATAATAACAAAAATAATAATAAGAAGAGGTAGAATAATAACATTTTTTAGTAGAGAATAATAAGTAAAGCGTATTACCATGGTAGATTCAGAGTGACGACCATCTCCTTTTGTATACAGAGGGCTGGTTTGTAAATTCGAATTGCACAAGCCTCTGCAATTGCAAGCATCTTCTTGTTTCTTTGTTTGCTGACGATGGTGAATGACTTGACGGCGTCGATATCATGTCCGTAATCCACGAGATGTTTTGTTATTGAGGATTTTGGGACTTTGCACTCAGCTGTTTTCAACCATTTTGGCAAATGCTCCATCATGCGAGTAGACAATCGCCTTTCCGTACGACCTATGTATTTGCTGCCACAAACACACTCAAATTGATATATGCAGTTTGAAGTGTCGAGGATTGGCGACTGGTCTTTCCCAGATTGTTGAAGCACTCGCTTGGTGGTGTTAAGGATAACGAGTTTTGCAGCGTAATAAGTTCTCTTGATGGCTTTGTCAAGTCTTCGTTTCACTATTTCCTGTACGTCATCTCCTTTGAATGGCAAATTGATATAGACAGGTTTCTTTGGAACTGTCTGAATTGTTTTGCAAGGGGTAGTTTCTTTAGAGTATTTATTAATGAACTTCTCAGGATATCCATTCTTACATAAAATATCCTTCAAAGATTTTATTTCATGTTCAACAGTACTGTCAGAACAAATTTTCCGTGCTCTATTGAACAGTGTTCTGACTAAGTTCTTTTTGTATTCGATTGGAACAAAGCTCTTGAAATGCATGTACTGTCCTGTCCATGAGGACTTTCTAAATATAGATCTTTCGATTGTGCCATCATTCATTTTGGTCAGAAGAACGTCTAGAAATTTAATAGTATCGTTTTCCTCGTGTTCTACTGTGAAATTGAGATTTGGATGGCATGAGTTGAATTTTGTTAACATGTCTTCCGCTTTTGATCTGCTTTCACAGACAATAAAAATGTCATCAACATATCTTAGGTATGCATTTGTTTCTTGTATGTATTGCTGCAAAGTACCGGTTTCTAGGCGTGACAAGAATAAATCTGCGAAAAGTGGTCCCAAAGGGCTTCCCATTGCGACACCATCAACTTGACGGAACAGACGCCCGTTGAATTGGAATTGGACATTTTTAGTACATAAAAGTAGTAATTTCCTCAATTCCGATGTTGGAATGGGTATGTCTTCAGCTTCTTTACATATGAAGTCGATAGTTTCAACGACTGGCACATTTGTGAAAAGGGAGGTAACATCGAAAGAGACTAAATGCTTATCGGATACATTGAAATCTTTAATTTGATTGACAAATTGAAATGAATCAGAGACTATATGTGTTCCGAAACGTTTCAGCAAGGGCTGCAACAGTTCACATAGCCACTGTGCTAATCTGTGGTATGGTGAGTTTATCATAGAGAGTATGGGTCTTAACGGCGCTCCTGGTTTGTGTATTTTTACGCGTCCGTATAGTTTTGGGATTTGTGACCCAATCGGTTTGATATTTTTATATGTGTTTTCGTCAATGTATTTATTTTTGAAGAGTTGTCGTAGATGTTGCACAATTTTCCTTTCGGTTGACAACGTTTGGTCTTTTGCACGGTTATCCAATTTGAATTTAGATTCATCAGAGAGAATTTGATTCATTTTTTCGAGGTAATCTATCTTGTTCATTAGCACTACACTTTGTCCTTTATCGGCTTGTAAGATAACAAGATTTTTGTCTTTTCGGAGCTTGTTTAAAGATCTCCAGTGTTCTTTGGTGATATGTGACTTTTGATTGGTTGGCATGACTCGAAATTGATGAGCAATATCAACCATCTTTGCTTTCAACCAGCTTTCGCTGTCACTGGACGTGGCATGTAGCCCTATAAGTTGATCATAAAGATTTTCGAATTGGCATTCGATATCAATTTGCTTTATCTTTTTCATGGGAGCACAGAATTTGAATCCCAGTGACAGAATTTCTGCTTGTTCTTTCGATAGGGAAATATCAGACAAATTGTGAACATAATTAGATATATCCACTGGGAAAATTTCATTTGGCGGTTCCGGATGAAGTGACTTCTTCAGTTTCTTTTCTTCTGATTCTTTTGTCTTTTTTGATGTGGCATGCAGATATTTAGTGAATTTAATATAACATACAAAATTTAATTCATTTTGTACACTGATCAGTTTACTTGACAATAGGCATAAATTACTGATTTCATCAGTTTCAGAACACAAATGTGATTCAGCAAGACGGTAAAGATTTGCCCGTGTGGGTCTCAAATGATCTTTACGCAAGGATTTGTAAAATGTTCGAGGATGCCACATCAAAAAAGACAAAAGAATCAGAAGAAAAGAAACTGAAGAAGTCACTTCATCCGGAACCGCCAAATGAAATTTTCCCAGTGGATATATCTAATTATGTTCACAATTTGTCTGATATTTCCCTATCGAAAGAACAAGCAGAAATTCTGTCACTGGGATTCAAATTCTGTGCTCCCATGAAAAAGATAAAGCAAATTGATATCGAATGCCAATTCGAAAATCTTTATGATCAACTTATAGGGCTACATGCCACGTCCAGTGACAGCGAAAGCTGGTTGAAAGCAAAGATGGTTGATATTGCTCATCAATTTCGAGTCATGCCAACCAATCAAAAGTCACATATCACCAAAGAACACTGGAGATCTTTAAACAAGCTCCGAAAAGACAAAAATCTTGTTATCTTACAAGCCGATAAAGGACAAAGTGTAGTGCTAATGAACAAGATAGATTACCTCGAAAAAATGAATCAAATTCTCTCTGATGAATCTAAATTCAAATTGGATAACCGTGCAAAAGACCAAACGTTGTCAACCGAAAGGAAAATTGTGCAACATCTACGACAACTCTTCAAAAATAAATACATTGACGAAAACACATATAAAAATATCAAACCGATTGGGTCACAAATCCCAAAACTATACGGACGCGTAAAAATACACAAACCAGGAGCGCCGTTAAGACCCATACTCTCTATGATAAACTCACCATACCACAGATTAGCACAGTGGCTATGTGAACTGTTGCAGCCCTTGCTGAAACGTTTCGGAACACATATAGTCTCTGATTCATTTCAATTTGTCAATCAAATTAAAGATTTCAATGTATCCGATAAGCATTTAGTCTCTTTCGATGTTACCTCCCTTTTCACAAATGTGCCAGTCGTTGAAACTATCGACTTCATATGTAAAGAAGCTGAAGACATACCCATTCCAACATCGGAATTGAGGAAATTACTACTTTTATGTACTAAAAATGTCCAATTTCAATTCAATGGGCGTCTGTTCCGTCAAGTTGATGGTGTCGCAATGGGAAGCCCTTTGGGACCACTTTTCGCAGATTTATTCTTGTCACGCCTAGAAACCGGTACTTTGCAGCAATACATACAAGAAACAAATGCATACCTAAGATATGTTGATGACATTTTTATTGTCTGTGAAAGCAGATCAAAAGCGGAAGACATGTTAACAAAATTCAACTCATGCCATCCAAATCTCAATTTCACAGTAGAACACGAGGAAAACGATACTATTAAATTTCTAGACGTTCTTCTGACCAAAATGAATGATGGCACAATCGAAAGATCTATATTTAGAAAGTCCTCATGGACAGGACAGTACATGCATTTCAAGAGCTTTGTTCCAATCGAATACAAAAAGAACTTAGTCAGAACACTGTTCAATAGAGCACGGAAAATTTGTTCTGACAGTACTGTTGAACATGAAATAAAATCTTTGAAGGATATTTTATGTAAGAATGGATATCCTGAGAAGTTCATTAATAAATACTCTAAAGAAACTACCCCTTGCAAAACAATTCAGACAGTTCCAAAGAAACCTGTCTATATCAATTTGCCATTCAAAGGAGATGACGTACAGGAAATAGTGAAACGAAGACTTGACAAAGCCATCAAGAGAACTTATTACGCTGCAAAACTCGTTATCCTTAACACCACCAAGCGAGTGCTTCAACAATCTGGGAAAGACCAGTCGCCAATCCTC